AGAAAAGTAAAAGAAAGTCTTAGTAACTTTTTAAGATATAACTAGAGAGCAACCAAATAAATAATATGTATCTAATGCAAAAATATTTAATGGTGCCTCTCACTTAAGAAGTGCACTCTCACAGTTATTAGCTTATGGCTTACTTTCTTCTACTGTCCTTTGGAAAGTCAGTATCTCCACTTGGACACATCTTTCCTCCTGAGTACCTCTCCTTCCCCTAACTCTCCTGCTTAAAGGCTACATTAAAACATCTTTTATAAAATCTCCAAGTCTGCTTCATACTGGCTAGTCTTGAAATTCTTTTCTGCATCAAAAACACAAATCCTGGGTTTGCCTGATCAAGGTCACAGGAAGATAAGAGAACTCTTAAGGCTATTGAGAGTGATAGTATAGAGCTATCTGTAGTCTCTATCTCATTGCCATTAAAAGCCCCAGACTTCAGCATCCTTCTGCCTAATTTATACTAATGGACCAGGAGGTCCAGCCATGGCCTTACAGCATATTTTGACTTTCAGGCCACAGCCTGAGTGTTCCTTTCTCAGTGATGCCACTCCTAGAATCTTGCAGATTGGGGTAAAATTCCCTGCTGCAATTTCTTAAAAGTGCCTCACTTTTCACACTTAATCCAAGGGCAATTCATGTTTATATGGCCATTACTTTGTTGTATCTCTTCAAAGTTCAAAGTTCTTAAGTGTAACCTTATTTCCATATAGTGCTGGGCACACAGTGGGTAATGGGCAAATTTCCCTTTCAAATTATAGTATCAGGTTGTTTGGTCAAACTCCACTCTAGATGCTGGGTTTAAAGTGTAATTTTTAGGTGTGATTCACTAGACTTTGAATAAAACATGTCAACCTCCACTACATGAGTGGACTTCATCTTACGAACCTGAAAGAGAAAACCTTAAGGGCCTCCCAAGTGGAAGATTTTCTACGTGCAAATGCCTGCAACATCAGCACCTACCCAGTTTGCCAACCTAACAGTCTGCTCATTCATATGTTGGTCTGCAAATCTCCATCAAAAGAAATCTCATTTATATTCATATCACTTCAGCCAATAATTTTTTTTATTTCTTGAGTAACCAATACACAATACATATTTATAATTATTTTCTGAATAGATGAATGAATGTGTCTTTCAACCACTATTCAAATTTTTGGTGAATTTATTTATTAATTTGCAAAATAACTATAGAAGGAAATTCTTCAGTAAGTGCCTTTGTGTTTGTGTGCATTTTACTTCATTGCTATACCTACACATTGGCATGGATTTTCAGTGTTTTAAGTTTCTGGATTTAATAGGGCCCATGTTTCAAAATAAGTGCTGGAATCCCTCTGAGTATTTAATTATTTTTCCAAAGGCTTTAATTATCCTCCTGGCATATGCTTTTTTTTCCTGAGTTCTTAACAAAATATCCTATTTTCAAATAACACTATGTAGGAATTTAAGATCTAAGGACATTTTTTTCTGAGACTATTGCTAAAATAATTTATAACAGCAACCCCAAATAATTGATCAGAACTTTCAGCTCTATGCTTTTAACTTAAGCATTAATCTTAGTGACACAGAACATTTAGGGGTATATAAGAAAACAAGAATTATCATTTTACTGCAGTGACTAGCTGACTTAACTACTTTGAGCAATGACACTAAGCCTTTGAGCCTAGGTTTCCTCATCTGTCAAATGAGAAACTTTACGGTTATTAAAAGTGGGATGTCTTTATCCCACTTCCACATAATAGAGAAGAGGGCTATGAAGAGGCAGAGTGAAACCACATGCCATGTTGTAGTTTCATTTCTGCTGCTGTGATGAAACACCCTGACAAAAAGCAACTTGAGATTTATTTGGTTAAAAACTCTAGGTTACAGTCTATCATCAAGGGGAAATTCAGGCAAGAACTCAAAACTGCTAGTTATCTAACATCCACATTAAAGAGCAGAGAGAGAATAAATACATCCTTGATGCCTGCTTGCTTAGCTAGTTTCCTTCATTCTTTTGTATTCCAGAGCCCCCTGCCTAGGGAATGGTGCTACCTACAGTAGGTTGGGTCAATCACACCCAAGATAATCCTCCAGAGACACGCTATAGCCCAACCTGATCTAGATAATTCCTTATTGGAATTTTCTCTTCCTAGGTGACTGTAGGTCATGTTGATTCAGCAATAAAAACTAACTACCATGGGTGTCAACTGGTGTGATTTAACAACCTCAAATGTGAAAGACTCCCCAATGCCAAATGCATAGTTGAAGGCTTTAAAATTTCGCATTATTTATTGACTTTGGTTGGAGGAATATGCACTTGCCATAATGTGCAATTGAAGGTGAGAGATAGTTAATTCACTCCTGCCACCATGTAGGGCATATGGATGGAATTCAAGTCATCAGGCTTGGTGTCAAGCAGACAAGTACCATTAATTACCCATTTAGCAATCTGTTCAAATTTTTCCCTTTCTGACTTTCATTGCCATCTTTCTCCGCTGATGTCAAACTACTACCACAGCTAATTATAATATGTTTCATGTTGGCCTTCTGTCACCACTGTCACAAATGAGCAAATGTGTTCAGCATTATTCAGCCCTATTCAGAAACTGTTCATCTTTGGTTCTTAGTGGGGCCACTTTATTTGAGTGTAATGATCATTTGTTAAAGGTCTACTCCTGTACCACACTGCTTGTGAGGGATGGAGTGTCTGGGCAACTTTTCCTCTCTTAAGGACTTTGCTGCTCATTGTGAATGATAGAATAGAAAAAGAGGGGCCACAGGACAGCATGCAGCTGCTTTCATAGCCGTGGAGGTCTCAAGGAGGTTCTGAAGCACAGCTTAGAACTCCTACATGTAAGAATGAGGCCGGGCATGGTGGGTAATGGGAAAACCTCGATGTGACTTCCATGAAAATGACAATAGACAGTAGACCTGGCACTAAATGTGTGTTCTGTGACATGGGAATAGAAAGCCACTATGTGCATAGGAGAGGGAAAAGGGGAATTACAGGAAGGGGGTAGAGAAGGAGAAATTTATCACCCCTTCACTGACATCTGTAGTTCTTCAGTGGTTTCTCAACTCAAGAAGTTATTTAAATACAATTTCTTGTATTCAAGCAGTTGTTATCATTCCAGGCCATGTTCAATCACATACTCAGACATTTATAGTGTGAGGAACAGAGAAGGAAACATATTATCCTCAAACTGGCCCAGCGGGACTAGTATACTAATAATTGCATTGTAACTTCTACCTAATTTATATAAAAAAAAAAGGGCCCAGAAAGTCACTGTTGCACATGTCAGGCTGTCACAGTATTTACTTACTAGGTTTTCAAAACATACACTATGATGATCCTTTACTATTTAGTTTACATTGTTAGCACTTTGGCTCCATGAAGACCTAAAGGTACACAGGAAAATGTTAACTGCTTTAATTTAATTTAATTTTATTATTATTTTATATGCACAGGTGTTTGGCTTCCATGTATATCTGTGTACCAAGTATGTGCCTGTTGCCCTCCAAAGCCAGAAGATGGTGTCAGATTTCCTGAAACTAGAGTTGCAGATGGTTTCAAACTACAACATGGGTGCTGGGAATTGAACCTGGTTCCTCTGGAAGAGCAGCCAGTGCTCTTAACAGCTGAGCTTATCTCTCCAGCCCTAATGTTGACTTCTTAATTTCTCATATTCAACTTATTTTTAAAGTCATTCACAGAGGCCAAACTGCATGTATTTCAGAAGTTGGAAATTCCCGAGAAGTTGTTAAAGTTGCAAAGGAAATATCTAATACAATGAATTCATAAGCAACAAAGATACTATACAACTTAGGGGATTTTTGTTATTTATTGTATCAGTAAGCTTTCTTTTATCTCATATATTTTATCAGTATACTTACATTGTGGGTTCTAAGAAGAAAAAAAGCAGAACATAATTATAATAAGTCCATGTGAAACAACTATACAGGTGTGCATGTCCATGTTCATAGACACATACATACACACATACACACACACTTTTGCACCAAAGACAATTGTAAATATGTACGCTGATACATCATGTTATATTTGTCATGTTCTTAGGGGCAGGAAGAAAATAATATTCATGTCTTGATGACAGCTGAGCACTGAATATGAAGGTGGTCCCTGTCATTTACATGGGCCTACTTAGAATAGTTACCTGACTTTCCAGTTGATTTCAGAGAATCATTTGGCTTCCTGTTTGTTCATCTCTACTTAGTCTCCCCATTGGGGAAACAATTTAAAAGCCATCTCAATCCCACCCTGGAAAGTAAGGTTCTAATTTGCAGAGATAAATTATTTATTGATTATGACTTTTGGACTTTTAATGGAGCTGTCTAGACACAGTGGGACTGCAAAACAAGGTAAGTCATATGAGTAGGAAATAATAGTGACATAATTTCTTCTTAATAAACAAGCAGATGTGGCATGTTTTGTAGGAAACAGTTAAACTGAATGTTTTGACATGAATTTTTCAATTTCTTTGTTCATTCCTAAATAGTCCTGTAAGTAAAGCTATGGAAAAAGTTGATTGTTTTCTCAAGTATTTTTACTATGAAATATAAATTACAATACATTATCTAAAGACATATATTAGTCATTTTATTACTTTGTTACATCTGAAGTCTTAAACAATTCTGCCATTTCCTATGTTTGCTCCCCTACTACATTGTTGGCTACTATGCTGATTTAGAAGAGAGAGTGTATGACAGGAGCCAGGAGGCTGCAGCTGAGTCATGAACAAATCAAAGTAGAAGCAGAGAAGGAAAGCATCAGGATGCAGTTCCCAAGCAGGCCAGCTTCACGCTGGCCACATACGTCTGCTCTGCAGTCACAAGACAGTCTGCCCTTCTGGATCTGGTTAAACAGCAGCTCTTCTGCTTCTGCTTTGCAAACTAGATCCAGGGTGAGTCTTGATAAAAGACACAAAGCCTGTGGAAATGATACTCTAGCTTTATTATTTTCCTATTTTTACTCTTCTGTCCATTAAAGATCATCTTTTGTGCTTGCTTCAGCAGCACACATACTAAAGCTGGAACGATTCAGGAAGATTAACATGGCCTCTGCAAAAGGATGTCATGTGAGTTTATGACATGAAGCATTCCATGTGTTTAAAAGAAGTCATGTTTTGTTAGCAGAATTTGTAAAACAAATTTAATTTTTTTCTTTAGTGTGCTTAAATTCTATTTGGATCAGCAATATCAAATTTCCTCAAATCCAACTTTACATTTTTTTCCAGCACATCTCTTTAATGATAATTTATAAAACACTGCCAGGTTCTATAAGCTGCCCCAAGGAAAGATGACCCTTCCAGAAGCTTCTTAGGATAAAACATGAAGCCATTAATAATTTCCCTGAAACAGCAGAGATAAAGGAGAATTACCCTGGGTATCTGTGGTGCATGGCACTTTACTTCCTCCGGCAAATGGTCTAGCCAGCACAAAGAAGCACCTAAACTTTTGGTTGAATTCTGCCCTCTCTATGAAAAATTTTATATATTTAACATTTACATTTACTTGCCCTAAAGCTATTCTAATTGCGTCACTCCTGGGAATAAGATTTCATTATTTTATATGAAAGCATGAATATATTTTTCCCTTCTCAGGGATAATAATAAGGTGTCAGGTAAGTGTTCATCTTTTCTGTTTCACCTGCTGCTTCACATTTGCAGGTTCCCCTTTCAGCTTGCGGCAGATGTCTGCCACACTGGCATTTGCAGCACCTGTTTCTGCTGCAGGCCATTGCCCTTTTCAACTTTCTTCAGGAAATGAGCTGTTTTGCTTAGTCAAATCTCATTACTCTTTCCATAATTGCCTTAGATTGCAGTTCATTATCAGAGAAGAATCTCAGCTTTGACTGGTAATGCTGCTGAGGACATGACTAAGGTGTCCTTCTATATGCTTTAAAGAAATGCATATCATTTAAAAGTAAAAGTGCATGCAGCTAATTACCTCACTCTTTATCCTTTTTGCCTCACAGATTAAACAAGATACATTCCAGAGTTCAGTGGTGAGACCTAAGATACACAGCCTTCTGTTTGAAAGCTTTCTTATTATCAAGAAGATAGTATGTGCAAGTTAATTAGTCTAAAATCAGAAAAATTGTGGAAAAATAATGAGTATGAATCTAGAGATCCTCACAGCACTTAGCAACACTGATTCCTTAAGCATAACCATAGCTATTGCTGGACTGAGACATGTTTTACTAGATAAAATGAATTGATATTGCTTTTATATGTGTACCTGTGTGTATGCATGTCCACATGTGTGGCGGCAAAATGAGTGTGTGTGTGTGTGTGTGTGTGTAACAGTGAAATTCAAGCTGTTGATTTTGATTAGGGTCTCTGGCCAACTGTGCCAAACTCACTTATTTCCAGATTCCTTCTTAATTTTAGCTCTTCTCAATGAGCTTAATCACATTCTTACCAATCTGGCCTTATAGTTAAATGGCTCATAATACTTGGGGGTGGGGTTGACATTTGCTTGCTTTTATTGCCAGTCTAGGAAAGAAATGAAGCACATCTAATTTTAAATAACTTCAGGAAAATATCTATTGTTAATAAGACAAAAGCTGGCTAAACAAAAATAGATTATTTTAGACTTTAAAATCTAATTGTTATTATGAAAGGAAACTTTAAAAGGTCATTTTCTTGATTCACTACATACCTGGCCTTCACCAAACTTAACTCAGAAACAGTTAGAAATGTGTAACTATAGAAAAGTCAGTTCATCAGAAAGATAAGCACTCTTTGTGTTCATTCACTTAATTAGAGCTTCAAGTTAGAGAAAGAAAAAAAACTGACAGAGCTAAAAGAGAAAAAGAAAATTCCTGTCGTGTTAAGAAAACATGGTGATGCTATTTCATAGTTTGATGAAAAGACTGGAACATCACCAGCTAACTTGACCAAAGCATCAATAAAATTACATGCAAAAATTGAGAATTCTCTAATTCTCATGTAATGTCACCTATTCAGACTGTATATCACTCCTCAAAATGATCCTCAATGAAACTCTTGTAGGGATTTTTATCTGATTTTAATAGAATAAAATTACATAGCAACATAAATTATTGTTTTTGAAAATTCTCTCACTCAAAACATTCTTCTTATACAACCTTCAGGTCAAGAAAGACGGCACAAGAAAAATGAAAAAAAAACATTTGGATTAAACAATGAGTAAAATGCAAAATATCAAATTTTGAATATGTACTTAGAGAGGAACTCTAAAGGAAGGGTATGTCTTTAAGACCTTGTATTTAAAAAGAGAAATTCTTAAAGTCAGTGACATGTTTCATCTGAAGAAACAAGAGAAAGAAAAGTCTAGAAAACCAACTGTGGCAAGAAAGAGTAGGAAGATAAGAGAATTAAAGAACTGGGAAAGCAAAAAATAGCAGGGAGCATTAAAGAAGTCACACAGTTTCTTGTGTGTGAGAGAAAAGGTGCATAAACTAGAGAGCGGGCCCTAAAGGATATAAAAATAAAATCACTAATATGGGGATTGAGACATGGCTAGTTCCAACAGATACAACAACTATTAGAAGGATACCCAGGAAGTATTTTATAAACATTAGTCCAGTGTTGCAAGCTACAAAAATAAGTAGGTTTGTGGAAAACAAAATTTGGTACACCCTACAGAAAAATAAAATATTAATATGTTAGTTATATTTAACTCATAATATGGAAGTCTCCTCACCACTGCCCACACCACCATAATAAACCAAACTTCAGACTCAGTGAATTTCATTCATGAATTTTACAAAAAAGAAAGGAAGGAGTCTATCAATCTCATATTCATCATACTGTATGGGCCACACTAGTTTGATTCCATGGGTTATAAGTGAATAGAGTATGGGAAGTTGGGAGGGTGATGAGTTTAGAGGGGCAGCTGGCAGGCAAGAATGGGGGTGGTTATGTATAAAATTTTCAAAGAATAAATAAAAGTATTTAAAAATAAAGTAGAAAGAAATATTTTCCATTTTTTATGTGAAGACAGTATTTCCTGAAATCTAGTAATGTTTCTCATGAGCAAAAATAAAATGATTTCCATAAGTATATATTACATACAAGCTTTTCCATGTCAACAAAGACTCCATAAAGTGGTTAAATAAAAGATGAATAGAATTGTGATAGTGGAGAAAATAATGTATTCAAAGACCAAACTTTAATTATAAAATGGGAGGGAGAACTGAGTAGAACTAATTACCACAGGTTGTCGTCCAACATCCACAGGCATGCTATGTATACATAGCCCCACACTCACACATGTGAATAAGAAATAAGAATAAGAACATGAGCATATTTGCTAAGAGGTTTTTTTATATTTAACACATAATGAGTGAAAATACACTGAAGTTTTGCAAATTACTGTGTCCATTTTAATTTTGAAAGCTCTGTATATGCTTTCAGAAGACAATCTATATACAAGTCACAGAGGAATGACCTGAGCAATTTACATAAGCTTAGAGAAAACACTGAAATTGAATCAATTCTATCATTATTTATATAATATAATTATATACATATGTAAATATTCACATGGATTCATTTAGCTGTTCATCTTCTTTTCACTTATACAAACATATCTTTTATGAAAAATACTCTCCAAATAATAAAAAAATCACAAGTATTATAAAAGCTGCAATATTTTTAAAATCCTAGCTATTTGCAAATAGATTTTTTAACACAAATAAAACGAGTCTCCTTTAAAGTTTAAAAGAGTGCTGTAAATTCATATTCTATGATTCCAACTGAGATTTTTCTTAAATATAATTTGTGAGTCTTTTGTTTGTAAACAGATCAATCCCCACTTAAAGATATGAATAGGAGGTATAAAATCAATTTCTGCCCTACACTGTACAGTTACAAGTATTGAACATCTGTGGACTGAACTTGGAATCACAAGCTCTGATGCCCAGCCCACACCCAAGGGATGCCAGGGGTCATGTATGTCCAGGGGCTGGCAATCAGCTCTGCTCTTCCCTCCAGTCGCTGTGTATCAGGGCTGGTCATAGTGACGGTTGCTATGCATGAGATCCTGACACCACTGGTCACTATGTCACTCACATGTCTTACCTGAATCACCAGTCTTACAATACATGGATGCAACAGGTAACTATCCTTTATCTAGAAATTTTGCTAAAATCAGCCAGGAAACTGTTTTTAGGAATAGATGACCACTGGTATTAATTATAGGAATGAGGGTTTTATTTTCCCTAACAATCTAACACCATGGATATCTTCCAAAGTTTTGTAAGCCCACTCCCCATGTCGCTACTCTCAAGAAGGTTTGTCTTTGTTTAATATTCTTTCCCACCAGGTTATACTTTTTCAATCAAGCTTGTTGTAAACTTTTGGCTCAAATTTGGACAAAACAATGCTAAGTTGGCAGAGAATAAAGAATGCAAAATTCCAAAAGCTCTGATTTTAAAGCATTTGACAATTTAACATACACACACACACACACACACACACACACACACACACACACACACACAGTGCAGAAATGTCCTTGTTAATCACCTAGATTTAAAGTGTGGCTAAGTATGGTGATTTAAGATTTGTGTTACAGCTAAGAAACTTACCCCGGCTTTGTGTCATTCACAACACAGTGGTAGGTAAATGTTCCAAACATTTGAACTCCTAAAATTCCATACAGAAGAAGGAAAAAAAGGAGGAAAATTGAAACACTCCAAATTTGTTCTCCTGACCGCCTAGGGAAAAGAGAAAAGTTAGATAAGATATATTAAATACCGCCCCCAAGTTCCATAAATGTTCCTCTTAATGTATGCACCAAGCTTACTTTAAAATATTTGTAATTCTGGTCCTTGGCAGTTCAAATCGGAAATAAATCCTGAAAGCCCGGATCATAATGAGTGGCCGTGGGATCCGCAGCATGCCCCAAGGTGACATCTGATCAACTATGTCAGCTATTTCAAATACCTACAGATGAAAAGATGCACAAGCTTAGACTCCCCTTAGTGTTGCTTATTGCAGTGGAATGGGTAGTAATACAAGAATGTGTGTCCTGTACCTACACTGTATTTCACCAAGAATCACATCCAAACACTATAGCTATCCTGAGAAACAAATCCATAAACTAGTGAAAGTGCCCTAAA